TCACATACACACAAATTCTAAAAATGACAAAAAGCAAAGAAAGTCATACTCTTACAATTTTTAAAAATTATACATGCTGGGCTGGGGATTTAGCTCAGCAGCACAGGCACTTGCCTGGCAAATATGCTGTCATGAATTGAATCCCTGGTACCAAAAAAACCCCAAGAAATAAAAAACAAAAATCATGCATGTTAAAAATAAAGAAGTGAAGGTGAAAAAACCCTATGACAATTATAGTGTATATAAACGATCAAAGAAAGGTCTAATATTCCTAATATATACAAAAGTCCTATAAATTAGTAAAAACATGAGTAACGAAAATGGGAAAAACTTTACAGAAGAGGAAATTGTTTCTAAGCACATAAAAATATTTCAATCTCACTCAGAGATGTAATATCACTAAAATGAGTTTCTATATGTATTACATTTCAGATTAGAAAATATGGATGTTTGTTTCATTATACATTAAGTTGGCCAGCCTTTGGAAAAGTCGGGACTCTATTGGCTGAAAAGTATAAAAGCAGTATACTTTCTTTGGGACAATAATTTGGTATGATTTTTTTTTTAATTTGGTACGATTTTAAAAACTTTAAATGTGTATAGCTTATGATCTTGCAATTTCACATGTTAGGCATCTGTCCTAGAAAAATACTTGCAAAAATATTCAAACATGCTTGGTTATGTTCATTGTGGCATTGCTGTAACTGTAAAAATTTAGAATTTAAGTGTCCTGAAATGGAAGAACTTATAAATAAACTGCAATGCCATAATACCACAGTAAAATATATTTAATTCTATTCTATCTTAATCTATCAATGTGGCCAGATCTCTAAAAAGAGGTTTTTGAGAGAAAAAATAAAAATAGTATGATGCATGGCAGTTCCATAAAAAAATGATACTAAGGGAGGCTGAGGCAGGAGGAATGCCAGTGAGTTTAAGGCCAGCTGAGATTGGCCTTAAACATAGTGAGTTCAAAGCCAACCTCAACTACATAGCAAGAGCATGTTGTAAAAAACAAAAACTCCAAAATTATATATTACATATATTTAAAAAAGAAAAAATATGTATCAAATACTGTTATATGTTGCTTGTGTGTGTGTGTGTGTGTATATACATATATATATATATATATATATATATATATATATATATAAAAATTTAAAATTATTATTACTGAGACAGGGTCTCACTATGTAGTGCAGCCTGACCTTGAACTTGCTTATGTACCCCAGACAGGCCTTAAACTCACGATAATCCTTCTGCCTCAACCCCCTGAGTGTTAGGATTATAAGTGTGTTCTACCACATCTGGCTAATTATAATTTAGAGGATAATTTAAAACTTATAGTGGGTACCACTGGATGAAGGAAGATTAGGAAGATGGTAAATTGAGGTCAAGTTAATTTTTCATTTTTTTGTTATAAATTTTTATTCTGGGAAAATTGTATACTTCAAGAAAAGTTATAAGGACAGTACAGATCCCATATGCCCTTCATCCAGTTTCCACTAACGTTAGTATTTTTCCTAACCATGGTGTATTTAGCAAAAGTGGTACAATATTATTAAAGACTTTTATTGGATTTCATCAGCTTTTTCATTAACATCTTTTTTCTGTTCCAGCATCCAATTTAGGATACTACACTGTAATCAGAAAATTAAATTTTTAGGGTCAGGGGATATAATAGCTCAGCAGCATGGCATCTGCCTGGCAATCATGAGGTCCTGAGTTCAATTTCCAGTATCCCCCACCCCCAAAAATTAAATTTTTAATGAAAAAACACTGTATGAAAAGCATGAGGTCGTGAGTTCAATCCCTGGTACAAAAAAAAGCACGAATAACAACCAAGCAGCCAGGCATGGTGACTCTGCCTACAATGCCAGCACTCAAGAAGCTGAGGCAGGATGACTGGAATGAGCTAAAGGCCAGCCTGGACTACATAGTGAGTTGAAGGCCAGCCTGAATTATACAGCAAGACCCTGTCTCAAAAAGAAAAAGCAAATAAAGTTGTTTTTTTTTTTTTTGTCTTTTAGAGACAAGGTTTCACTGTGTAGTTCTGGTTGGCCATGCCCTCACTTTGCAATCCAGGCAGGCTTCCAATTAGCACCAATCCTCCTGCTTAGCCTCCCAAGTGATGAAATTACAGGTGTGTACCACCACATCCAGCCATCCTTAAAATATTTTTTAATACAAAAAATGTAACCATTTTTTTCTAGGCAATGAACCAGATTTTTAAATAGAATACTGATAACTCACTAGATATATACCTAAAGAAATAAATATATCTATTGCCCAATATATATCTATATCCAATGGTATGTAACAAAACTATCTTGAATAGTCAGGTATGAGAATATAAACTGTTTATTGGAATGTTAATTATTACAACAAGATTATTTGATAGCATTTTTTATATTTTAAATGTAAATATCCTAGTTGTAGCAATTACCCTAAGGTTTATTTAACGAATGAAAACTAGAAAATGACTGCTACTAGGTGTAAGATTTATAGGGTAATAAAAATGTTCTAAAATTGTGGACATGATTGTACAACCTTGCACAAATTAAGAACAATTAGGGGGCTTGGGAATTTAGCTCAGTGGCACAAGCACCTGCCCGGCAAGCGCGAGGTGGTGAGTTCAATCCCCAGTACTGGAAAAAAAAAAAAACAACAGTAAGAAGAACAATTACAGTGTACACTTTAAACAGATAAACTGTATGATATGTGAATTATACCCCAATAGACCAATTTAAAAAAACAAAAAGTAGGACTCTGGAGACAAGCTGCCTATCATTTTAGAATTAACCTTCACTGTCTAGCTTTGTGATGCGAGGAAGATACTTAAATTCACTGTGTTTGTTTTTTATCTCCAAAATGAAGAGCAATATAATAGTAATTTACTTCATGAGGACTGTTGGAAATTAAGTGATAGTAATACCTATGAAATACTTAGAATAAAACCTAGCACATAACTACTCAGTAAAAGTTAGTTTTAACAACTGTTCAGTACTGGATGTTGTTTTTTAAATAAACATACGGACAGGCTGGAGGAATGTAACCAGTGATAGAACACCTGTCTAGCATGTGTGCAAGGGTCCAGGTTTGCACCACAAAATACAGGCAGGTGCACAGGCAGGCAGACACAAGACAAAATCCAACAGATTCAGAGAATGTGATTAGAAATGCAATGAAACAAACCAAATCACATAAAAGAAGACTGAAAGAACTAGGGATGCTAAAGCTGGTCATGGTGGTACAGGCTTGTAATCCTAGCACTTGGGAGACTGAGGCAGGATAATGGCAGAGTTCAAGGACAGTCTAGACTACAAAGTGAGTTCAAGGCTAGCCTGAACTGCACAGTGAAAACCCAGTCTCAAAAAGACAAAACAAACAAAACAACAACAAAAAACAAATTCTAGTAAAGAGAAAATTGAGAGGATATATCTTTTCAGGTATTTGAAGAAGTCTCCTATCATATTTGTTAGATATTATATCATTTCTGTACTGATTCAAAGTAGAAAGGATTCCACCACACAATCCTGGAAGGAGAGATGTGCCTGGGAAAGAAGGCAGTGGATAAAAGTGACAAAGGGCGGTTTCATGTCATGAAGACCAAAATTTTCTGTGTGTCGTGAGTCATTCAGATTATCCTAGCAACTGGGCGTGGTGGTACACACCTGTAATCCCAGTACTTGGGAAGCTGAGGCAAGAGGATTGCTGACAGAGGCCAGCCTGGGCTACAAAGTAAGTTCAAGGTCAGGCTGAACTGCATAGTAAAACCTTGTTTTAAAAAGACAAAAAAAAAAAAAAAAAAAAAAAGACAATTCTAGCAACACAGTTCCTCCAAAGTATAACAGTATTACTATTAGCCTTTTCTTATGCTCATTCAGTCTTGTATGCAATATTTACTAAGCCCAGAAACAAATGCCATTTTCTTCTCTTCTTTTTTTTCTAGACAGGGTCTCCCTATGTAGTACAGGCTGGCCTTGAACTCCCTTATACATCGTAGGCTGACTCTGAACTCCTGGCCATCTTACTGCCTCCGCCTTCTGAGTGTTGAGAATTACAGGTGTGTGCCACCACACCCAGCATATTTTATTTTCAACAAGATAAATTTTTAAACTGTACTTTAGGTATGTATGTACATTTATTCTTGATATTTACTTAAAAAGTTTAAGATATATTTTGTTCATTCCACAGAATATAAATATATTTTACTGTTTAAAATTATCATAAAGGTATAGAAAATTTTGGAGGGCTGGAGATTTAAGCTCAGTGGCATAAGCGCCAGCCTGGCAAGCATGAGGTCGTGAATTCAATCCCTGGTACCACAAAAAAAAATTTTTTTTTTAGGTAGGACATGTTGATATGATGCCTTTATTTAATAAGAAAATCACCTCTATTATGAAAGGAAAACAATATTATATAAAAAATCAGACAGAAGAAAAAATATAATATTCTTAAAGTTCATATGTTCATATCCAATTTTATTTTGAGTCTTGTGCATCCACTATGATTTTTTTTAAAAAGGTCAAAAATAAAAAGGAGGAGGAGGGCGTAGAGCTCTTGCCTAGCATGTGTGAAGCCCTAGGTCTGCTCCTCAGCATCCCCCCAAAAATTAAAACTAAGAAGGGAAATCTGATTTTATGCTATGTTTCCTTCACTTGCATGAAGTTTTCAACATGCTTCCCAACACGTTAAACATTTTTTCTGCTTTGATTTCCATGCAAAACTCTAAATTATCTCCACATTTCTCAATCTATTTGCTTAATGTACGCTATCTTCATTCTTACAGAACAATGACTGGCTTTCCACTCTGGTTTAAAATCAACCAAAAAAACAAAACAAAACAAAAAACATGACACTTGCTAGGTAATTAAAATAGAAGCCAAGCAACAGTACTTATTTAAAGAAAGAACCTGTTATTCATAACAGAAAAAAATGCAAACTTCAACATGTTGAGTAACTGGTTACTTCTTTTCAAACAAAACACATACACATACCTGTGGAACCATTGCAACTCTCTGGTTTCTTTTAGGTGATTTCGTATTTATTTGTCTGTCATCTTCATCAGAAAAGAGTCGACTTCGTTTTGAATTTCTGAAAGGCTATGATAAAAATTTTTTTAAATGAAAAAAAGCAGAACATTTCTTATTTCTAGTCTAAAGTACAATTTTATATTTGGAAAGTACAACTAACTGGATTATCAGCAGTATGGAAGAAAAAGTGTGAGTAATATAACACACAAAGTAAAAAATAATCTTAGATTTGGGAAGTATTAAAACATAAATTTAAGGGGCTGGGGATTTAGCTCAGCGGCATAAACGCCTTCCTTGTAAGTGTGCGGTCGTGAGTTCGATCCCTGGTACCGATAAAAACGAAAAAGACAAAAAAAAAAAACACATAAATTTATACAATTTGTTTACAAATGAAGCCAATGGACAAGCTAAAACCAGAACATGGATCAGGAAGACAAGAAAATAAATTCTGAAAACTTCAGTTCAAATTATGCTGGTGAATGTCAACTAGATGTATCACACAAAGTCTAATACATAGGGCTGGGCTGGGACAAAGGCATTAAATTACTCCAGAAGAGGAAGTCTGAATGTATATGGTTAGTACTGTACTAGATCTGTCATCAAAATTGTCACCCAACTTTTCCTTTGTACATAAAAACACAATGTATATGCATATATAAATATATGAAAAAGATACTTTATAATGACCTTTTGAGCTTAAAAAATTTTAAGTAACCACTCAATGTGTTAAAGCTTGCATTTTTTTCTATTATGAGTAACAAGTTCTTTCTTTAAATAAAAGTATTATACACAATATACTCAAGAATCTATATAACATGATAAAGTTTATAGTCCACTCTACATTGAATGAACAGAGAGAAAGAACAGAAATCATACCCCAATAAGACCCATATCTTTTCCCAAATTTTTCTCCCACCAGTCAAGAGAAATCTTCATGAGGAAGTCACCTATGCTCACCACTATCCCACCAAGTCTTCAAGCCCACTTAGAAAGGAAATGGGTGCAGAGGAATATCAATTTATAGGCAGCACCCAACTGAGTCAAACTAGGACCTTGAAATTAAACCCACAGCCCCAACAGTCACTTTCCTTTTGCCTTCCCCCTTCTGTGACCATGGATAGCCAGGAAGAAGGAATGAGAATGATGGAACTGATGAGCAGGCCCCTCACATTCACCACGGCCAGCTGCCCAGCCACCATTACACTCTAGACCAGCGTCAGGCCTGTTTAATCACTGACCCCTAAAACTCCTGGCTACCTGACTCCAGGGAAGAAAGGTCTTAAAATCATTAGTCAGGCAACTATACATCATCTCTACTTCTCACTTCCAAATGCACTTATCTTTTACCTATGAGAGATTTAATACATGACCACTTATTTATATATTTTCTTGCAAAGACCAGAGTCACATAAAACTTTTTTGCCATACCAAATAAAAGCATGGCTCAAGAGGGCTGGGGGTGTAGCTCCGGCATAAGTGCCTGTTTGGCAAACACAAGGTCGGGAGTTTGATCCCTGGCACCAAAAAAAAAAAAAAGTGTTACTTTAAAAGAAAAAAAAAAAAAAAAGTATGGCTCAGGGTTGTTTCTTATATTTAAAAAAACTATGATTATTTAACAAATGTGTAATGATTACTAGATTACAATGGCTATAGATAAATGATCTAAATACTATCAAATGTTATTCCAATTATACTTGACTCAAATGTTTGTAGTTGAGACAAACCTTGGAAATTTTTTACTATACTACAAGAACTTAAGTATGACAATAGAACAATTTAGCTATAATTACTGTAAAATTCTTACCATTTCTACAGCAGGGCTTATATTTCTCCCTTTCCACACAGGTGTTTTCTGTAAAGAACTGTACTTTTCATTCCATGTATTAGATAAGCTTCCCTCTGTAATGAATAATTAATACTAATAAAATTTAAATTCATTAATGCTAATAAAATTTTAATAAAAATTTAATTCATAGTTTTATACTATGAACAGTATCTCATAGCAATGTATTCAAAATATATACCAATGTAGAAAAAATACACTGATATGATAATTCTAGTTTATTACAGATGAAAAATCTTATTTGTGTTTTCCTAAGTCTTTTAATAATCTGATAAGGTCATACACTTTGAAAGCATTACATTTCTATACTGAGCTGGGCATTACGGCGTATCCCTGTAATCCCTGCCCTTGGTAGGCTGAGGTAGGAGGATCCCTGTGAGTTTGAGCTGAACTACATGGCGAGACCCTATCTCAAAATACAAAACCACACACATAAAAAGAATTCTATGCTGAAACATACAGCTTCTTTTCCACATGTTTTTTGGTTTTTGATAAATTCTCCTATTCTAATTACCATAAACCATCACATACTGAAAGTGGAGCGATGAAAAATAGATCTCCTTTTAATACTGAATTTAGAGCATATTTATGAATATTTTCTTACTTCTATATATGAAACCCTTGATTTATGAAAATGAAACTAGTATGGTATTTCTGTTTTCTTAATTTAAAAAATGTCAGGGCTGGGATTTAGCTCAGCGGCATAAGTGCCTGTCTTACAAGTGTGTGGTCCTGGGTTCGATCCCCAGTACTGATAAAAAAGAAAAAGACAAAAAAAAAAAGTCTTTGGAGTTGTGCACAACCAGGAAAAATTCAATCTAGTAACTGATGAGCCATTATGAAAATAAAGTAGTTTAATTTTTTGTAAAAAATATAAATGTTTATATATAGAGAGAGAAAATCTGTTATGAGTATATATAGGATTTTTGGGTTTTTTCTAGCTGTTTTCTAGCATTTTCTGTAAGAAATTTATATCAGTTGCATAATTTTTATTTTTTATTTTTTTGGTACCAGAGATTGAACTCATGGCCTCACGTTTGCCAAGCAGGCACCTACGCTGCTGAGTTAAACCGCTGGCCCAGTTGTATAATTTTTAAAAAAGAAAAATGATTAATGGCATAGGTCAGCGGTAGAGTATTAGCCTGGCACTTATGCCAGTAGCACTTATGCCTAGCTACCTATGAGGCTGAGGAGTGGAAACCCATCTCAACAAAAAAGAAAGAAAATGAAAAAGAGAAACAAGTTTAGTATTGAAAGAAAAAACAATACTTTTTCAGGAGTGTATTTTAAGAAGCATAAAAGAGGTAGAGAAGAGGGGTGTAGCATAGTGAAGAATGTGTACACAAGGCCCTGGGTTGAATCCCTTACTGGAAAAAAGGAGGTGGGATGGCGCTGATGCATCCAGCAAACACTGAGGCACTCTACAAGACAAGGACTTCATTCGGCAAATCACCAATCCAAAGCACAAAACAGCAGCTTTAATGACTAAATACTAATGAACTTTTAGAGAATATTTTATTTTGATTTCCAATTTATTTACTCAGTAGAAAATCAAGAAGTAAAATTGAGAAGCCTAACACAGAAGTGCCAAAACCCTTTTTGTGTTGTTTTTGTTTTTTTGAGACACTAGCTAGCTATGTTCAGGTTGTCCTCAAACTCATTATGTAGCCCAGACAGGTCTCACCATCTCACTATAATCCTCCTGCCTCAGCCTCTCTGGTTTTGGAATTACAGGCGAAAGCCATTATATCTCACTTCTGAAATAAAATGTGTAAGAAGATTTAGGGATGTAGCTCAGTGGTAGAGCAATTTGCCTAGTATACAGGAGATCTATGTTCAATTCCCATACAATAAAAAAGACATAAAATTTAAAGTACTATATAAAAATGGTTAGTCTATTAGTGCCTATCAAAAGAAAGAGCAAGATCAAAGGACAAATCTTGGGAAAGATAAGAGCACTATTCTTATTTTAAGGTTCTTGCACTATTACTTAGAAGGCAAGATTCTTAAAAATACAGCTTAGGGCAAGTTTAACAAATGCTATGAAAAAAATGCTATGAATACAAATAAGATTTTCCTCAAATAGTTAGAAAGTTCTTCTTTAGCCAGTAACTTTAGGAAATTTTTTTTCTTAACTTTTAACTGAAGACCAATTTCTCTAAAAGGATTATGAACTTAAAATTATTAACTAAAATCAATACTTTAAAGTGGTAATGAACCATAACAGAATAAAAAGAAAAACATACCAAATTAATTTTATGAATTAACTTTCTAGTTTGACATACCAAAAACATAATTCTCACCTTTTAAACTGACGAGAGCTTTTGCTGAAGAGCCTACAATTAAAGATAAAACAAGTCAATAATTATTTCATAATGAAAATGAGAGAAAAATAATCGGTTTTGGGATTAAAGTGATCAATTTACATTTGAGCAAGCCTGAGTTTGAAGCGACAGTGAGATGTATACTCAGAAATAACTAGTAAACAATTCAAACAGTAGACCAAAACTCAAATAGACTAAGGAAGAACGAAGAGAGATTTTCAGGAGTCCCTTTGAAGTTTTGAAAGTTGCAAACCATTTTGCGAGAAAATGATGTAGTAAAGGAAGACAAAGCAAAAGTGGGGACAGGTATAATTTTGAACCTCATTCCAAGTACTATAGTACTAGAAAAAATGAAAAAGAGAACTGACGTTTATTGAGACAAAGATCAGAGGAGGAAATGAAGTGGAGAAAACAGAAAATGGAAATGATCCAGGGATTGCCATAGTAGGCAACTCCCCTGCAAGCAAGAATGCAAGTATAAATACTGTATTTAAGGGTCAAAGCTGGAATAAAGAGCTCAAGACAGCCATGAGGAACTGGTATAAATCGGAGGGACTCACTAGGTAAAACAAACTTTAGTGTATATTAGAATAACATAAGAAGTTCCTCACACACATGGAATCTGCATTATTGCTCAGCACTATTGCACACTTGTATAATCTCAGCCCTTCAGAGGTGGAGGCAGGAGAATCACCACATGTTCGAGGCAGCTTGGGCTACCTAGTGAGTTCAAGACTAGCCTAAATTGCACAATGAGACCTCGTTTCAAAAAACCAAAACAATAATAATAGTACGGGCTGGCTTTGAACTCATTAATCCTCCGGCCTCAATCTCCTGAGAGTTGAGATTATAGGCAACCACACCCAGCATTATTAGCAAAGCTCTTCAACTCTTGAGAAACATCAAGCTACAGGTTTTGTATGAATAAAAGGAAGAATCTATGGGGTAGTAGTAGAATCAATAGAAAAAAAATGGTTTTTTTCCTCTCTCTCTCTCTTTTTTTTTTTTTTTTAAAGTTTTTGAAGTTTAGTGAACGAAGGCAGTAAAATCATGGGCAAGAGATATTAGGAGAATTATGCCATAAAATCTTGCTTAAAAAACCTCAAATAAAACAATACAACTGGGAAGTGGCAATATAGGTCCAAGTTGCTATTAAGAGAAATGTAATTCATTTAAGGAAACACACACACAAAAAAAGAGACACACACTATTCACTGACACAGTGACCCTGTCTTAAGCACTGACTACAAGACAATCAAAATGCAGCAATATATGAGGTGCTCATGATTAGCTATTCTGGAAGGTAATAGCCAGTAAGGATCTGAAAGAAGAGATTAGGTCACAAAGAAATCCACTCATGTTCCATGCAGCAGGAAACATATTTTGGGGATTCCAACCTGTCATTTTTAACTTTTTTTTTTTAAAGGCAGTACTGCTAGTGGTTCTATCTAGATTGAGACTTAGCTGTGTTTGAATCTTGGGTCTGTCACTTTCTTAGCCTTTCTCAAATTACTGACCCTCTCCATGCTTCCATTTCTTTGTGTGTAAAATAGTAAGTAAAAGTGTGTAACAGTACACACAGTACTTAGGTAATCTTCATTCAGTGATTAATGTTCGTATTAACTGTGATCAACCAAAAACTAGTAGGTTAAGAGCATAATTTTACAGGCAGATGAATATGACTAGTCTCCTGCTTGAACTAGGAATGCTCGTTTATTCACTCAACCAGGATTCACTGAATGCTTGCCACAAACACTTCTGGGGGCCAAACTAACCCCAAGGAATGAGACAGATATAGTCTCTGCTCACAGGGAATTTACATTCTGTAAGAGACACACAATAGGGGCTGGGGATTTAGCTTAGCGGCATAAGTGCCTGCCTTGCAAGCAGGCAGTCGTGAGTTTGATCCCCGGTACCGATAAAAACGAAAAAGACAAAAAAAGAGAAATACACAACAAGCACATAAAATAATAATTACAGCTCATTCAGTTTTTGCTCTAAAGGAAATGAACTGGGTGACATTTGTGTATGGGGGAGTCTAGTTTACATAGGATAGTTTTTTCAGAGGGGTAACATCTGAAAATAACTGTGAGAGTAGGTCAAAGCATGACGCTTGGACAAACAAAAGAGTACGGAAAAAACCCTGAGAAACTAGTTTAGAATATTCAAGGGGGTAGGATGGGGTTGTATTTGCCATGAAGGAGGAAAAGGTGATAAAAGGCCAGAGAAATAAGCCAGATGTTATCATGACATGGAGCTGGGAAGACAAGCAGAAAAAAGAAACACTGCGTGCTCTGGTGGGGTTACCAACCAAGTAATCACATAAATGGGAAACTGCAAGTGTGACAGCCGCAACACAGAAGTTACACAGTGCTAGGAAAGATTAAAGAACACATAACTAAGTCAGGGAGAATGAGTAACTCTGAAGAGACTTAAAACAAGAACTAAAAGCTAAGTAGAAGTTAACTGGAAATAGAGGAATAAAGAGCATTCCAGTTAGAGAACAGCATCTGCAAAAGCTCTGCAGAAAAGGGAGACTGCTGAATACAAGGGAGCAGAAAATGTGATTTAGCTCAAAGGGACAGAATTCGAGGAGAGTAGTACAAGGGAAGCTGGAGAGGCAGGTACTGTAGATGGTTTTAAACAGGAGGACAGGCGAATATTTTCAAAGGATTGCTTTGGCCTGTGTGAGGGTTGGATTAATAAGAAACAGAGTGATTCCTGTAGACAAAGAGACAGTGACAAGTTGGGCTAGGTGATGGTAAAAGTAGGTGAAACTGAGAAGACTTACTTGATAAAGGCTTAAACAAGAGAAGTAAAAGAGAAAAGCTTCAAAGATAGGGTTTCTGTTCTGCCAGCTGAATACACAGTGAAATGTTCAGAAGACAGGAACCCCTGGACAGGATTATGAGGTAGATTTTGAGCTCTAAAGTTTGATGGGCCTCTGAAGCAACTAAGAGAAGATATGAAATAGCAAGAGAGCTCAAGGGACAGATCCAAATCTAATGATAGCTTTGGTCTTCTCATACATAAAATCAAGGACTTGCATCAATTAAAACTACAGATTAAATGAGCAAATATATATAAACATGCTTTACACGGCACTGATTCACAGTAAGTACTTGATTAATATTTTATTACTGATAAATGTTATAGTGTCTATTAGCAAGTATATTAGCTACTCGATCCCTTGCCTAAACTTGGCAAAAAACATATTTCTATTTCCAGTATCAAACTGAAATCATTTTTCCTTTTCAAGATCCTGTTCCATTTTAGTATGTCTGTTGTTCTACTCAATCCCATATAAATCAAGTTAAGTATATTTGATTTGTGGCACTGTGTTACACATCAGGTATGGCAACCCTGCTTTCCACAAAGCAGTAGTCTAGCTAAACAAGATATACCACACAAACACACACAAGCCCCCTCCCCAAAACCAATGTACCAGAGCTGTGATGTTAGTCCCTTGGCTCTGTTGCTTTTAAGCTTATGGCAAGGCAGAAATATGACAAAAGGCCATGGCGGTAGAAAGCTACTCACCTCACCTCAGTAGCCAAGGGGAGAGAAGGCCAGGGTAAGAGAGGGGCAGAGGCCTGGGTAATGCCAAGACCCATTCCCTTCAGCTAGACTCCACCTCTTATTTCCAGCACCTCCCAATGATGCCATCAAATTGTGACCCTATTAGTGGACCAATTTACTGATGAAGGAGGACCCCTCATTATCTAAATGTTTCCCAAATTCCATTAGCAACCAACCCCTTCTATACAATAAGCCTTTGTGGGGGGGGGGCATACACATTAAAACCGCAGCAGAGGTCACACAGTAATATAAATGACTAGATTAACATATGCTGAGCTTATGATTCATATTTGAACCTTGGTATAAATCCCAAGTCTCTGCAAGGAACCAAAATAAGGAAAATGTTTTCAGATGACAACACGTTGTACTTACTGGGCCCACAACTATTTATAAGCATCTTACAATCCATTGTATTTTCCATATGAGAAACAATACTTCATGGAAGGTCTACAGCTATGTCTTATCAAACACAGTAGCCACCATTTAAATTAAGAAGAAATTGAAAGTTCAGCTCCTCAGTCAGTCTAGGGATTTGAAGTGTTTCATGGCCTCTTACAGCTGTGGTACCCTCTCAGGCACTGCTAACGAGAACATTTCCATCAGTGATAATGTTTTCTTGGGGGGATTTAGCATTGGTTTAGATCAAATTTAAAACACAAAAATTTTTAATATAACTTTTCATGAGTTTGGCAACTTGCTAACTTCATAACACATTGAGAATATATGGCCATACAAAGCAAGCAACATTGGTAGTATCTTCAGTGCTCATTTTTAAAGTTTATGTTTTGCATGCAGATATGCTTTTAGCAACTGAGTCTTCTGTTGTTATACTAAAATTCTAGCCAAGTGATGTACTTTATAAACCAAACAGGGAGGGTGGTAAAATAAAATATCTGCTTTTTAAAATGTGATTTATGTAATACTGAAAATTACAAAATTAAGTTCCACTGTCCTTGAGATACAGAATTGGTGCTTTTCTTGACTCCACACAACTGAACCTCAGGTGAGGGTGAGCCGGTCCAGGAGTAGATGTCAGCTGGAGCAGGGCGCATATTTACGCGGAAAGACACCCGTGGCTCCCAGGACGCATCCACGCAGCGGAGGGTCAGTGGGCGGGGGCCACCCTAGCCCTGGTGTGCGGTCCGGCTAGTCTCCGGAAAGGCGGCCGGCCACCTGTGGTCCCAGGGGAAGGGGCCAGCCCTCCGACACGCAGACGCTTCTAGGGTGCAGAACGCCCTTTTCCGGAGCAGGCGCTGTCACGGGAACGACCAGGAGCTGGGCAGGAAGGTGCGGCCGTGGCCGGCCGGTACCCGCCGAGCCTCCCGGCCCCCGGACGGGCGCGTTACATAACCTGCGGCGTTGCCCGCGTCCCGGGGCCGCTCTCTCCCACCTCCGCCGCGGGCTGGGGTCGTGCCAGGGGAGCAGCCGCCGCCTCCGCCCGGCACTGGCCGGACTCCTGGGCTTTCGGTTTCCGGCCATGGCGTTCACACAACCCCAGAAACCAACACACAGACACCATAACAAAGGCAGCGACGCGGCGGCAAGACCAGCTTAGGAGGACTAGGGGACCGCGGTGGGGCTGGCAGGCGGCACACCGGCTAGGGAGAGGGCACAGCCGCCCGTCCCAACCCTGACGCCAGCGGAGCAGGTGGCCAGCGGGAAGCGGGGGGTGCTTGGAGGTGCTACTCACTCTCGTCAGGCAACTGGTCGAGCTCCGCCATCTTGAACGAGCCGCGCCGCTTTTTCAAAGGCTGGCCGCCGCGGTGCATTGTGGGGCGGAGACTGTCTTTGCGAGGGAGGTTCGAATGCGGAGCTCGCGGACCGCGGCGCCGTGCTGCTCCCGCCCAGCGCGCCGGCCCCGCCCCACCCCGCCCGTGCATCTGCCGGGAGGAGCCGCCCTGCGGGCCCGCCGGCCTGGCCGGAGCCGGCCGCTGGCCGGAGGAGTCCGAGCGCGGGCCGGGAGGCGACGCCCGCCTTCCCCGCCGCTCGCTCCCTGTGCGTGGCGCGCCTCGCGCTGCCGCTGCGGGCATTGCGGGCTGCGAGTTCCTTGGCAGACCTGGTCGAGGCCCAGGCCAGCAGGGCTCGGGCGGCGGGCTGCCGCGGGCCGGCGCGGAGAGACGCTCGGCCCTGCCGCGCAGACCCGAGAGGGCGGGCCACGCTGCGCCTTTCGGGCGCCAGCCGCGGCGTGAGCCCGCGCGCGGGTCTGAGTCAGGGTCTCGGCAGCCGCTCTCCACTGGGGACGCCTACGCTCTCCACTGAGGAGCCGGGCGCCGGGAGTCCAGAGAGACCGCGAAGTTGGCCGTGGATGGGAGAGACGCCAGGAAGCTTCGCGGGGACACAAAGAGCCGGGTGTGGGTGGCGACGCGTCAAGGTGATCAGGTACCAGATCCAGTGGGACGAGGACACGGTTTGCGGGTTGGCCTTCTGTTGAAAGAAGCCCAAACAAAAATTTCACATTTCTTGTCTGACGCTTTGCAAAAATAACCACGGCTGCTTTTCAGCAATTCGTTTAACAGAGATCGATGCGTTCTAAATCCTTTCTCAGGAATTTCTGCACGACCGGTGGAGTTGGACAGGTGAGCCCTAAAAGAACAACTTAGCAGGTGAATGAGTGAGTTGCAGAACTGAGGGTTGGAAAGTAGCACGTTGAGGAGGTGAAATAGCTAAGAGCGAAGGAGGGAGGAAGGTTCCATTTATTTGGGCAAGAAGGTGAGCAATAGACTGAACAGGAACGGGGTGAGAGTCCGGGACCATCAGGCAAAGAACAGTGCAAGGTGGATTTGGAATTTCCAGGGTGTTTCTGCTGCTAGTTGTATAATCTCTGATTAATTTGTGTCAGGTATTGAACCCAGGGCCTTGACGTGCTAGGCAATACCTTGTCACTGAGCTGTACCCCCAAACCCATAAGGCGGTTTTGCTACTGGGAGCACCTCACAATTTGCTACTCTCACCACTAGAGATGGGAAATACCAAGTGGTACTGGGACCTCATTAGTGCACCGCTCAAGAGGTGTGAGCAAAGTGACTTGACGAGTCAAGGTGGGAAGAGGAAGGATTCACTAGTAATGAGTTTTGCACCTGGAGTAATTTGATGCTGAGACGCTGAGATGCTGCAGCAGGAAAGGAAGAAGAAAGTAAGTAGAAAGGGTGCATATTCATTATTACCCAGGAATCTTTCCGAGAAATCCCCCCCCCAGCTTCTAAACACGTTCTGCCCTGCCCTGCCCTCTAAAAGGAAAACTCCCAGCATTTGGCCGATGCCACGTTGTAGGGGCGTCAGATGCATTGCTTGTACCTTACCGTAAGTTTGGAGGTGAGAGCAAGTACAGGTCTCCCCTCTGAGAAGGAAGGAATAGACAGACATTAAGGTGAGGATCAGTGTAAAGATTCCTTAGAAAACTAAGGCTAGAAGTTGCATTGGACCCAGCTGTTCCCGTTCTTGTTATCTTTCCCGAAAGAATTAAAAACAGCGATGTGTGCACACCCATATTTATAGCAGCACATTTTGTAATAGCTTAATTTTGGAAAATGCCCATCTGTTGGTGAATGGTTAAAGAAGACGTGAGATTTTTTTTAATACAATGGAGTACTACTCTGCAATAAAGAAGGGTAAACTGGAGACATTTCTAGGCTAATGGATGCATCTTGAGGCCGTACTCTTTTTTTTTTTTTTTTTTTTTTCTCTAATCGGTACCGGGGATCGAACTCAGGACTGCCTGCTTGCAAGACAGGTGCTTATGCTGCGGAGCTAAGTCCCCAGCCCCTAAGGCCATACTCTTAAGTGAAATAAATGAGACACACATTTGTAAATACATTGTTTCTCTGGTATGAAAAACAAAGTGTAAAGACCAAAATGTATAATAGATATTCAGAAAATGGAAGAAAATTTTCAAATGGGTAAGGGGGGGGCGGTAAGAAATGAAGGGAAAAGAAAAATAATGATGCAAAGGAAAAGATGGAAACAAAAGCTTTTGTAAGTAGGGAGGGGGGTAGAAGTTGAGAGGAATGGGAGACAAAAGAATTAAGTTATATCATGTACAAAAACAAATTTCTTATAATGAATGTAATCATTATGTATACCTAAAATTACCAATAAAATTTTTAAAAAGGAATAAAGGTGAAGGGAGCTAAGGTGTGAGAGAAGCAAAAGTTTTGTGAGTATTGTAATAGTCGGGATATCATTAGACCAAGGCAAGCCAAGTTTTATTTTGAGGCAGTTTTGACACAATAGCAAAGCTTCTGTTTAAGTCAATGTTTTAGGCCTTCCTAGCATTTTAAACAAAAACCCTAAATGATTTTTCTTCATAGTCTGAAGCCTGAAGCTATGTCCCAGTTTCAGATCTCCTGAATATTAATTGTGTGACTCAAACCAAGACAATTTATTATTTTCGTAGCATTCTTTACTGGGTCTGTGTCAGAGATTTTACAGTCGTTGGCTTGTTTGATTCTTCCCATAACCTAGTAACTTGTCAAAGGGCCACAGCAACGAGGCATTGGCATCAGGAATCTGGCCCATTCTGAGCACCTCAGATTCCTTGTGCTGTGAGAACATCATGTGTCTTTAGTGTGTGCTGCTACAGCAAAATACTTTGTGATTGGGTGATTTACAAACAGCAGAAATGTATTTCTGATGGTTCTGAGGCTGTAGAGTACACTGAGTTCAGGGCCAGCAGCTCTCTGTGTCACAGAGCCAGCGCCACCTCCTCCAGAGGAAAGAACACAGCCTTTGCCTCATAGGAGGGACTAAAGAGCAGTAGCACCCTCCCTTCCCTTGCGTTCTTCAGTACAGGTGCAGTCCCATCAGTGACAGCAGAGCTGCCATGACTGACCCCAATGAGGCTGCTCTTCTTACCACTGCTACATTGGGAATTGTCACTTATGTCATAAAATATGAGATGTTACTATTCCTCCAGTCATGTAGTACAATTTCAAACGACATGCTTGCAAGTGTTTCTCGTTAACATTTTGTAAATGAAAATTTGGATAAGGATATAAATGTTAAACTATATAAAAATATATAAGAAAAATAAACATGACCATATTTTAGGTATATCAGGTTTGATTATTTCTTGTCCTATGGCTTATTTGTCAATTTATAAACTATCAATTGCAATGTTTACAGGTGGAGTATATATAAATATATAATGTATATGTGGATTTTTAAAAATACTTTTGATAAGGTTCTGGAAATTTGAATTTGGTGAAGAAAGATTGACTACTCAATATATAGCTTGCTTGTTTTGCTTGAGAATCTTAGCAGTTAGATCAAAAGTCATTCATTCTATGAAAAAGTTATGTTGCTAGTGAGACGTAAGGTTCAGTATGTCTTGTCCCAGCATTCAAATGTGCCAGGAATAGTGATGGCCCTAGGCTCTGGGTTCAACTCTCAGTTTTCCTACCTAATCTGTGGCCTTGCACAAGTTATATACTGTAAGTACTTTTTATTTTCCACTCTTCCTTGCAGGAGTCTTTAGGTTGTCAAGGGGATGTCCTTGCAGGGAACTTTGGGACCCGTCTCCTCCTCACTCTTGTCTCCTTCCTGGCCATGAGATAAGTGGATTGGCTCCACCATACACTCCCATTGTGTGCTGCTTACCCAGAACAGTCGACCAGGCTGACCATGGTCTATAACGTTATTTTTTTTCTTAAATTATTATTATTACTATTTTTATTGTTATTTGAATACTTTTTTTTTGGTACCAGGGATCAAACTCAAGACCTTGTGCTTACCTGGCAAGCACTTGTGCTACTGAGCTAAATTCCCGGCCAAAGTTCTGTACCGCTTTGTTTTGATTGGCTTTACTCTATTTTGCTTTTTTGAGTTTTATTCTCTTTAAAATAAAAATAAAATGTGATGACATATGATAAGAAATACAACCAGAGAGATAGGGGCACATGGGTAGAGAGGGATGAGGAGCTTCTAAAATCCTTCCCTAGCCAGATATGGTGGCACATACCTATAATCTCAACACTCAAGAGACTGACCTAGGAGAATTCCAAGTTCAAGACCAAAATAAACTACATGGCAAAACCCTGTCTTAAAAATCAGTAAATATGCTGGGTATGATGACAGACCTCTGTAATTGCAACACTCAGGAGGCTGAGGCAAAAGATCACTAAGAGTTCAAGGCTATTCTGGATTACATAGACCCTTCCTCAAGAAAAACAAAATAAGGGCTAAGGATATAGCTCAGCAGCATAAGCCCCTGCCTGACAAGCACAAGGTCCTGAGTTCAGTTCCTAGTATGAAAAAAATAATGAATGAATGAATACCTTTCCTAATCTGGGTCTCAGGAGCCACAGAAGTAGCTGTTCAGCTCTCCAGCTGTGAGGGCTGCAGGTGCCTGACAGCCTCTAACCACTGCCCCTAGCATCTGCTCCAGCATCCGTGCCAGTGCTGTGCTCTCCCAGGCTGCCTCTAGCCAAGAATTGAGCCTGGCAGGGGTCTGGGAGCCAGGCCTTCTGCACCTAGGCTGGGCTCCTTGGACACCTAGGCTCTCAGCTGCATGGGAATCGAGAGTTGTCTGTAGTGTGGGGGTGACCCTTGGCCAACCTGCCAGATGATGTTCTGTAACTGTTGCTCGGGCAGTTTGTAGTTGTAATGAGCCAGTCTGTTGGCATTGTTTCATAATGGGTTTATTGGTGGGACCTGGAGGAGTTTAGCAAGTGTGGTTGCCAAGGAGCTGGAGTATGCCCATGTGTGCCACAGGGCCCTCTGAGAGGTCCGACCATGGACAGTATCAGACTCCCTGGGATTTGCACTGAGTCAGGAGCACAGCACTTCAGTGGAGCCACTGGGAAGCTTGCCTATGCTGTGGATCCAGGCCTGTACTGCACTGCTGCTGC